ACGATCTCAGTGATTCCAGAAGTAAGTCTTGTAATAAGTTCTTCTGGTTATTGAGAGACAAGAGACTATGCCCTTAAACCAAATGTTACTTTAAACCGTATTGATTTAAATGTTTCCAGTCCTTAGTCCAGACAAAGCGACCCAACCTTGGGTAATATTACCTAAAACTTTACACTGTAGCTAGGAATTCTATTCTCATGCCAGTGTCAGAATGTTATCTCCTGACCAGACTGTAGAGACCAGCGAACGGGGAACTTAGCATCACACCTGAGCTGGACCGTAGGTCATAAAAGATTACCTAACACGAATTGAGCGGACTGTAGACATAGAGGCGACGAGAAGTTTAAAGTTTAACACGTCAGTGTAATTCTGGGGAGAACAGGTGTTTGGCAATTAGGAATGTTTTATCTTGGTCAAGGTCGTACTGTAGGCCGTTCACTGTGAGTGACAGGTCACTGGTTAGCCAATTTGATTTGATAGGTACTTCAGAGGCGGAGCTTAAGCCATCATCTTGAGGGTTGGGTAAAAACTAAGGAAAGGGAGGAGTTTAATTTGGACAATAGATTGATACTTATACTTCGAGCCTGTGGAATTCCCGTCAATAATCGCAGCCTGCCGGCAAACAAACACAGGTCGACGTGAAGGTATATTTTACTGTCGTACTAAGGTTTGGCGATAGATGGAAAAGTTCCTAGGTGAGAGAAAATATTAATTTTAATCTTGTATACTTAGGTTAGGGAGTTAAGCTTAGTCTATACTACCTTTTTCTAATTTGTCTGCACATTCTGCTTGAAATAGTTCTGTGTGAATATTCAGTATCTCAAGTTAGGGAACTGCTAAACTATTCCTATTTCTTGTATGTTTGTGTCACATGTTTTTCATTGTATGTTTTCATGTGTATAAAATAAGATGTGAACAATGACATTTGCTATAATGAAATGTAATTATATTGTTTCCATGATCAGCCAAAACATGAGTTTGGACTGTGGGGAAATCCAGCCCATATGTGCAGGGATGCTGTTACGTTTTGTGTGCCCACCATGTGCTCACTTAAGGTGTTCACCTAAACAGGGGATTTATAACCCCAGGGGAAGAATGATGGGTGTATAGAATTCACGGTCACTGAAAGATAATATTCAGGACAGCGTGCACATATAAATTGTTTGCGGGTTCAGCACATAACCTGCGCCACGTGGTCATGTAATATCAATGTCAGCCAGTTGTTGGAAGTCTGAGTGATGACGGACAACAGACTTAGAAAGTCAACTATCATGACATAGCATGAAGAGGGAAGGCAGGATATGTGACGCCTATGTAAGACAAAAGACCTTCAGACTAGACTGGAGAGAATGTGGAATATGAGGAGGAGTGATGGGATATTTTATTATTATATGTTATCTTAATTAATACATGTATTCTTAGTGTAAGTCAAGATACTACACGTATGTGTTTTGTTTCCATGATTACAGCGCCCATGTGACGATCAGTCCATGAAAGAGACTACATTGTGTTAGACTCGGCCAGCTGGGAACGAGGTGGAGAACGAGGTGGAGAACGAGGTGGAGAACGAGGTGGAGAACGAGGTGGAGAACGAGGTGGAGAACGAGGTGGAGAACGAGGTGGGGAGGAAGTGGAGAATAAGCTGAAACAGGCAGACAACAGGCAAGGAAGAGTTGGACAAGCTTGACAGTTCCTCACGGCTGTCAGAGGCTTATAAGTTGAGTTAACCCCTTTATGTTAACCTTTTATCATCATTATCATACCACTCTAAACCCAGAGCTGTTTGTCTCGCTGAAGCGTATCACTTTCATTAACCAGTCACTGTTTGTGTAAATCAACAAACTGGTAATTTCATTGTAGTAAATAAAGCTGTATGTCAAGTTTTAAAATACATAGTTTGGTAAATTCCAAATGTCTGTTCTTACATGTTTAATTAAACTGTTAGGATAGAATACCATTTGGTGGGGGCTCAAATAATATAATAATTCTTTAATTATTAATAATAACACCGGGAGAAGGTAGATGACGGAGGAATCACTTGCCCTGTCTAATAATTCATTAAGTATGATAGACATCTAAAATTCCTTGCCTTCTCTTGTGGGTACCAAGTGCAGCTAATGTTAAAGTACTTAACGAGCCAATATGGTTGTTTTCTTGGGTATCCAGGACTTTGTCTGAGAGCAACATAGCTCAGATTTTAGTTCCGTTAATCTGGTGGAGGGAATGTGTTGAGAGGAACCTCCCTACTCAACATTATAAACATTTAAACCACGCGTCACGTCACATGGCCAACACATTTTAGATATCACAAGCTTCTTGAACGGGCCTGAATTATAGATGCGTCCATCTTGCATACATGATTACTAGAAACGGAAAGGCTTGTTCTAGTAGTCAGCAGTGAAATGTTGAAACAAGGACACACAATGTTAAGCGATTACAGATTGAACGAACGAACATTATTTTCAAAGGGTCACAAACTGGGCACACAGGCTGTGTTAAATTCAACCTGAAATAAGTTATCTATGTCAGCAATTTTGTCTCTTGTATAAATTTCACTGTCGTTGTTAGTTCATTCAGTGGTCCATAGAGTTTACGTTCCACTGTTGTTCTTTCTGGCTAAAACGTTTGCCTTAATGTTTCAAATTCAGTGCGGTCCTGGAGTACATGCTCTGCTGTCTGGGGCACCTTTCCACAGGTACACATGGCTGATACGCCGATCTTAAATTCTGTGTACATGTGGTAACTGATACATATCAAGGCATATGTGGTCAAGGTCCTTTAGGAACAAGCAACGGAATCAGTAGAGAAACTCGATTATTATGACCTGAAGAGAATGAGGCACCTGGGTGTAATCAGAGGGTCTGGCCAGCTCACTACACTCAGAGGAAAGGCAAGACGGACATATAACCAGATTGTGACCGGCACCATCAGTATTGGAACTCTGCGCTGGCTGCTGAAAATGACGACGGAGCACTCATAGAAATGCCCTGAGTGCTGTGATGTCAATTGTTGGCTCAACTCAACTCAAATCATTAATATATGGAATATGCGGCCTGTTGGGCTTATTTGTTTGCAAAAACAACACTGCTGGAACAAACTAGGTAACCAAAATGCTTTAAGTTTTTTTTTTTTTTTTATGTAGAGTTAGTTACCAACAATCTAATAGCCAGGTATGTGGCTTTAAATTAATTAAAAGCTATATGTGTTTGTTTTGTTTTGTACTTTGTTGTCTGCCCCTTCGTGACTTCAACATTTATCAACAAAAATACAATCAGCTTTATTAACTATCTCATATATGCTTGACCTCTGCATTATATGCCAAAAGGGCAGAATGTTAGAAGGCCTGTGTTTCCAATTCTTAACCCTTTGATAATAAAGTGTGTTTGTTCGTTCCCTCGTTGGTTCGAACGGTTAGAACTCCTGGGCTCTCATGAGGGAGACCACTATGGTCACACGCGAAATAATTTCACATTTCGGAACTATCCAAAATTAAAAAACTTTTTTCAGCACTTTTTGGCAAAATAAATACTCAAAATTTTAAAACTGTAAATGGTGGCCCAAGGGACGTTGTGTGGAAAAGCGCGCCCCTCCCCCCCCCCCCCCCCCCTTTTTTTTTTTTTTTACGAAATACGCCTGGCCAAATTAAAGAGAAACAACGCAAACTGGAAACACTAAGTAGGACGAGGGAAGACATGCACAAGTAACAACAGGGTGGAGGACGAGCGGTATGATTCGGATGGAAACATCAAGCCCAGAAATGGCACAAACACTAGAATTCAGTCACGAAAGTGACGCAAATAACCCAGACCACAAATATAGGCGGAGACTGCTAGCAGCCTCGGCTAGCTAGCAGCAGTCAGAACGTGGTCGAATTTTTTTTTTCTCTCAAAATAACTTGGAATTGGAGACCCGTGTTCTAATCCTTGGTAAGCTGAAGATTTTTTTTTTCTTGGGGTTGGGGGGGGGGGGGGGGGGGTCGGGGGCAAATTAAATTACGATGACGATATTTAATAGATATGCCACATACGTATAAGAAAATGCTAGCGTATGTTACTTCTTCAGATGCTGTCAGCTACGAGCGGGTATTGGAAGTGGACACAACAGAGACTACCTGAAAGGGACGTCAAAGCGAAACCTTTCACATTATCCCGAACAGCGGAGGTTTATATGTACTCAGCTTTTGTGCATCTGCCAGTGGAAACTGACCAGAACACTAACCTCCCCACAACCGATATTATAATTACAACGCTAGGCAAGTGAAAATGCGATATTTTATATATATATATATATATATATATATATATATATATATATATATATATATATATATATATATATATATATACACGTGTGTGTATGTGTATTTTTTCTAGACTTTTGTCTTTATTAATAAAGCTTCAAGGTATAATATATTACGTGTAAAAAAGAAAAGGGGTCTCTAAAAAAACTGGACTTGTGATCCGAAACAAACAGCTGAAAAACCATCCCAGGATCTTTAGGACGTGAGACAAATGGATTGAATGGTATATGTACTCAGCCCGACTGTATGTTGTAGAGTAGCAACTGTCGTTTCAGTTTGAGTCTACGAAATGTCTAGGGGTTTTTTGTTTTTGTTTTTAATAATAGGGTTTCCATAAACCACAACCTCTCTCTATGTATATAACCTCTCCGGGGACTGTATTTGACTCTCTAATTCAGAACTTCCCAACGTGGGGCAATTTGATTGATTAAAAAAAGGAGGGGGGGGGGGGGGGGGTAGGGGAGGGGGGGGGGGAATCGAAAATGGACTAGCACAGAGTTTAGGTTAAAGTTAACCGTATGGAGATGTTACAGCGGCGGCATAAGAAATTTAGATAGGTTTGGGGGATAGGGGAAGGGGGATGGCATGGCACAGCAAAGGCTTAGAAACACAGTTGCCCCCATGACCTTCTGAGTGTCCACATGTCTATTAAAAAACATAATGTTAGTTTTTAACTTTACTGCCTATAGGCGTAAATAAGGTTTTTTTTTTCTAATACACAATCAATTGCATGTAAGAACTATTGTCCTCTGTTTATTACATTTAGGCAAAACCAGAGCTCAGATGTCCTGTTGTATGCTATCCGGCAACCAAATGACACTGCACATGACAACGGCAAACATTTATTTTGAACATCTGCGCCTAGGCTACAACCCCAACATTTACATGGCTCGCCAGTACATCTGTAGAGTTCCAGTACATGCTGACTCTCTGAAGAGTTCCTACATCACTCTGACTTCTAAAGACTGCTCCACTGATATTCAAGATTATCTTTCAATTATTTATCCAACCAGGGTACTGGGAGGAATCGCCTTATGTGGCAAAATCGCACACAGTGGCGGACTCGATCCTGAGAAAGTTATTGAATGGTTTGAGGTTCAACGATTACTCGGGGTAGATAAAGTTTTGATATTTGATCTGGGAAATCCAGAAACTTTAAATCGAGTTTTCAGATATTACCAGAATTTAGGTATTCTAGATCTGCAGCCCTACGAACTTCCCGGGGAGCCACAAAACAGATCGTTGCAGGAGGCATGGAAGAACACAGCACAGTTTAGTCATGATGAAACCATGGCCGTTTTAGAATGTAGGCAAAGATTGGCGGGCTACGAGTTCATCATCGGCCATGATGTGGATGAGTTTATTATTCCAAGAAGGGACGAGACACTCAGAGACGTTTTCAAGGTAAATTTCTTTTTCTTTTTCTTTAAGTCCCGTGTGGCGATGGTAGTCATGTCTATCCACAACCTTCTGTCTTGTTTACTTTCAATCAACTCTGTCACAGATGATCCTCCATGCCATGATGTCAAACTGACCAGCATCTTTTCTCTCGGTTTCCCTTTGCCTCTCCTCCCCCTCCAACTTTCTTACTGTCAGGATGCATTCCAATTTTCTCCTTCTCATTACATGACTAAAGAATGTAGATTGTATCTTTCTGATGTGGACAATCAGTTCTCTTCGTGAGTTAGTTTCTTTCAAGAGATCTTCATTGCTCTTTTTATCTGTCTAAGTTATTCTCATCATTCGTTCATAAAACCACATCTCCACAGTTTCCAAATAGGTTTTCACAATGGCTAGTAAATGGCTGGTGCGGGATCAAACTTGACTTTCGTTGAAAAGAAGTGTATTGTGAGGAGAGCAATGAATTCACTAAACCTGTTTATATATATATATATATATATATATATATATATATATATATATATATATATATATATATATATATATATATATATATATAATCATGGTTATGTGTAGTAATAGTGTGTTGTGGTCACTTTCCTTGAATATGATGTAAAGGCTTTTTTTACAATTTTTCAGTAGTTTTTTACACTGACATTAGTTAACCGTTGCATTTTCCTACATAAATAGACTGAAAAATATAGTTTCCTCGCACAGCTACTGAGATGAGTACACGGCACGACACTGAGAGCAATGGATTTCGTTTTGAATGTTTTTCAAATGTGCACAAAATGGTTTGTGTTGTGGATTGCAGATTTAAATAAAAAATAGCATGTGATCTGATGCCGCGCAACTGGTGATGCCTTATGGGATTAAATGCGTGTGCAACTACTGATCTTTTGTAACTGCTGTATTTATCGACGATTTAGTGCACTTCTAGTGTCCAGTTGTTTGCGTTGGCACATATAGTGGCTGTCTTGTGCATTTATAGCGCGAGTATGCTATTGGGTTTGGCTGAGACTGCAGTCTGTGCCAACTTTCCCCTCCTCCCCATCCCCGCAAACAATAGTGATTGACATTCTGTGTAATTTTCGTTGGCCCAGGAAAAGAACAACTATTGGGTGATCCGTTTGCTGTTATAATAGAACTGCGATTACAGGGATTACTTGATATGGAAATCTGTTACGATTTGTAGATAATTGTGCATTTAAAAATACTGTACTTGTTAAGATGCATAGAGAGCTGTGTATGTCGGAAGTCGGCTCTGTGGCTAAGTCGATGCGAACGCTTCGCAATACCAGGATGCCGGCTTCGATCCCAGCTGCGCACCATGCGCCTTGCATTGGTTTCGCCAGTGGTATCAAGAAGCCGACCGTCCAGAGGCAATGGCAAACTACTGGATGTAAATTTGCCTAGAGAAACCACGCAGATCTCAACAAACTAAACAGCATATTAGTTCCTAAATCTCAGCTCGCAACAAACTATTTGCCAGGAGCAGCAGGAGTTGGTTGTGCAACGTCCTATAAAGGATACGCAACTAACCTCTTATGTTAGAATTTATTGTGCTGGTTGGTATAGAGAGCTGTAAATGCAGAAAAACTGCTGTGCTGGTTTGTTTGTATAAAGACCTGTCCACGTAGCCATATGAAGTAAGGTTAGTATGTATCAGGAGCTATGTATGCAGGATCTTAATGTGCCGGTTAGTTTGCATAGATATCTGTGTATGTAGGAACATACTGTGCTGTTTAGTTTGTTGAGAGCTGTAGTTTAGAAATCTAATGTGTTTTTTAGTTTGTTGAAAGCTGTGATTTAGGAATCTAATGTACTAGTTAGTTTGCTGAGAGCTGTGATTTAGGAATCAAATGTACCAGTTAGTTTGTTGAGAGCTGTGATTTAGGAATCTAATATACTAGTTAGTTTGTTGAGAGCTGTGATTTTGGAATCTAATGTGCTAGTTAGTTTGTTGAGAGCTGTGATTTAGGAATCTAATGTACTAGTTAGTTTGCTGAGAGCTGAGATTTAGGAATCTAATATACTAGTTAGTTTGTTGATAGCTGTGATTTTGGAATCTAATGTGCTAGTTAGTTTGTTGAGAGCTGTGATTTAGGAATCAAATCTACTAGTTAGTTTGTTGAGAGTTGTGATTTAGGAATCTAATGTACTAGTTAGTTTGCTGAGAGCTGTGATTTAGGAATCTTATGTACTAGTTAGTTTGCTGAGAGCTGTTATTTAGGAATTAAATGTACTAGTTAGTTTGCTGAGAGCTGTGATTTAGGAATCTTATGTACTAGTTAGTTTGTTAAGAGCTGTGATTTAGGAATCTAATATACTAATTAGTTGAGAGCTATGATTTAGGAATCTAATATACTAGTTAGTTTGTTGAGAGCTGAGATTTAGGAATCTAATGTACTAGTTAGTTTGTTGAGAGCTGTGACTTAGGAATCTAATGTACTAGTTAGTTTGTTGAGAGCTGTGATTTAGGAATCTAATGTACTAGTTAGTTTGGTGAGAGCTGTGATTTAGGAATCTAATGTACTAGTTAGTTTGTTGAGAGCTGTGATTTAGGAATCTCATGTACTAGTTAGTTTGTTGATAGCTGAGATTTAGGAACCTTATGTACTGGTACGTTTTTGTGTTGATTTGCATGCACAGACAGTCGTGTGTAAAAAACAATGTACTGGTTTGGGTGTGTAGACAGCACTGTTATTCCGAATAAAATGCCTATTATGATTAAAATGTATTCTTATGAATTAAATACATTGATCTAAAATTGCACAGAAACAGCTTCAAAGGGAACCCAGTGGATCTGGGTTTTTCTTCTACACGCAGTTCTTCATAACGACATGGAAACCAACAAATCCTGAAGAAGATCTCATGGTGAAACGTTACAGGAGGACTACAGAACCGTTATGGGTATCCTACAAATACGTGTATCTACCGTCGAGGGTAAAGGCTGCAACGACGCACAGGCTATTTCCGTATAATCCCCCATTCAACAGGTGAGCTTTTGGGTGTTCGTTGTATACCCAACAGTGTGAACGTCTTTAATGGCAGTTATTTAATCTTCATTTGGTTGAGGTATGATAGAATAAATAATGTAGAGCTTCAGGAGAGAACTAAACAGGCTCCAGTGGACCAAGAGGTGAGGAAAAGAAGCTGGCGTTGGATAGGACACACACTGAGAAAACAGAAGAACAGCATGACTAGAATGTCTTTGCATTGGAACCCACAGGAGCATAGGAATAAAGGAAGGCCAACAACAAACAGGGAGAAGAGAGCTGGAGAATGACGTTTTAAAGATGGGGAGGACATGGGGAGAGCTCCATGTAATGGCGAACTACAGAACGACTTGGCGTGAGTTGGTTAGGGGCCAATGCTCTATCAGGGGAATAGAAAGGCAGAAGAAGAAGATTTGATTTCGAAAACGTGTGTACGGCAGATTTCAAAAGTAGATTTGCTCATTGGCCAACTGTCATCGTCTGTGATCAAATAAGCAAAGGACCCTTTTCAACGCCTTCAAGCGTGCTAGGAATATAAGGTCTAGATTATTATAGACCGATCAGAACTCGATGGATAACGTGGTTAACATTACGCCGGCCGCCTTTGCTTCTCGGACTTTTATCTCGTACCCATTTAAGGCTTTGTTGACCTGGGAGCCAAAGTTATTTTTATAAAAATGTCGCTCCTCTTCCCGCCCTTTTTAAGCTCCCCAGGATATCAACTAAGGACCTTCAGATCCTCAGGGGCAAGCGTCTAACCACTACATCATGGCCGTTTCCCTTTACACCAAATTTTGTTATTGACAAACCTGACAGAAGACCGTATTGTGTCAACGGTAGTTGCGGCAACGGTTAGAGAGCAAAGGCAAGTTTATCATCATCCAGTTACTGAATACCATAAAGTATATAACTGAAAGAATAGAAGAGAATAGAAATAACACAGTAAGTAGAATATAACAGCATGTGCATAAAGCATTGTTTCTAATTCTACTGTCATTTAATAATCGAGGTTTACGTCTTCAAATTGAAATAGATCAAGAGTTCCTCCAAGTGATGCCGTTCTCCATCATTATCGCCCTTGCAAGTTGGACTACTGGGGCAATTGTTCTGTGAAAACAATTATTGATAACACTATGACAAGATACCGTGACTTGGACGAACGAGTGGCCAGGGCGCGGGCAGCAACATCGACCAAGCCACAGTGGAGCGGATGAAAATGTTGATGTGTGCCAGCAGATCAATTTGTGCCTTAAACTTTATTTTCTTCACACACACACACACACACATACACACAATCACACACACACACACACATATATATATATATATATATATATATATATATATATATATACATATATATGTGTGTGTGTATATATATATATATATATATATATATATATATATACACACACACACACACACCGTATTGTGTTGTCAATCACGTCTGGCCACATGCACAGATGGTCATCCATTCTATGATGCCAGTATGTCCATCATCTTGTCGTTTGGTCTCCTTCTGCCTCTCTTCCCTGCCAACACATATGCCAGTTTTCTTCTTCTCTATGTGTCCCAACGAAGGCGGGCTATCTTCTTTTTATACAGGTAATCAGTTTTCTTGGTGAGTTAATTCCAAAGCGATGTTTTTCCGTTGTGAATTTTTACAAAGAAGACAAAAACAATCCATTGCGTAATTTATTGCCCGGCATTTTTCGTTGTATCTCATCAGGTGAGTACTACAGTAACAATTGATTAAAACGAAGCAAATAAATGAAATACAAAATGACTACATTCAAAACTGTCTGTTTTATCCGGGTAAACGCAAAATGAAGAGCATGTCTTTTTGTCTGCATAATTATTTTGATTTTTTTTAAAATCCCCATCAGCCATTGCATGCCACATTTTGGACTCTGGGCACACTGTAAACAAGGAAGAGCACACTGTAAACAATGAAGGCGCATTTCGAATTATTTACGCTTCAGCCAACCGTAGATTACTGAGATTTATGGGAGCGGCCGCGATAAACCGGTTTTGTCCAGAATTATGCAGACAAAAGGACATGCTCTTCACTTTGCGTTTACCCTGGTGAAACAGACAGTGTTTGAGGTAATTTCACTTAAAACGTCTTTACTGCGTCTTTTATCGGTCTCTTGTTGTATCAGCATTCTTTAACAAAGAACTACATCTTCGCAGCTCAAAGATAATGTCACTAACAAGATTTAATGTTCATCTATCGTTAAGGAAGCCGCTCGCTTGCGGATCGTGGGTTTGGATCATGAGAGTACTGGACTTTTGTTTGTTAAGGAACTTGGCTCTCATGTCGACCCAGCCAAATTGTTACCAGGTGGAGTCCTACGAAGTAAAGGCGGCCGGCGTGATACTGGCCCCATCACCCATCAAATGTCAACTGGTCTATAAAATAAAGGTCTAGCCCTATGTGCCTCAAGAAGGAGAAAGGATCCTTCACTTGTACTTTACTATCTATGGTAAATGGTTGATGGCCTGGAAATTAATAAAAATCAAAGCTTTTGAATTATAATATTATAGAAAACGTGTAAGAATACTATGGACACAAACACACACACACACATACACACACACACACACACACACACACACACACAACGACATACTCCATGATCTAAACATCAAGAAGAATTGGCGCATTAACAGGATCCTGTCCCTAAAGCTTGCTCACTTTGGCCATGTGAAACATCATTTTGACCTGGAAGGAATGGCGCATTTTTCGAAAACGAGACAAAGACTTACCTCTGCGAAAGTGGATACATGACATTAAAGATGCATTAGCTTTAAAAGCACATAGGGCGGAAAGTTAACGAGAGAACGACATTTTGTAAATAACATGCTGATTAATGATGATTTACAGCAGCCTTAGTTCTCACGCCACGCTATGGTTATCTTTACTGAGATGTTATTACATACTGATTCCCTCATTGGGTACTGTAATGTCAATCAATCAATCAGTCAATCAATCAATCAATCAATCAATCAATAAATCAGTCAATCAATCAATTATTCTATCAATCAGTCAGTCAATCAATCAATCAATTAATCAATCAATCAGTCAGTCAATCAATCAATCAATCAATCAGTCATTAACCAGTGGGTAATTTCCATCAGTGAGTCAGTCATGAGGCACCAGCTCTACAATACATGTTGGCGACAATGTATCCCAAGCACATAGTCTCGGACACTGTCGCACGGCAGATCATCTAACTCCTTGGTGGTATCCTTCCACTTGACCCACCGTCTACCCTTCTGCTGCCTAGGACAAACATAGAGGATCTAAATCCTTCGTTCTCATCGCATATATTCACACACACACACACATACACACACACACACACACACACACACACACATATATATATATCTGGATTTTCACACAGGCATGAGCGATAACAGAACATACATACATGCACACAAGTATGTATGTGAGTGTGTACGTGTGTATGTATATTTAGGTATGTAGGTGCGTATTTACGGGTGTTATATATATATATATATATATATATATATATATATATATATATATATATATATATATATATATGTGTGTGTGTGTGTGTGTGTGTGTTTATGTTTATATTTCAAAGCAAAGAAAAGTTTGCTAACCATACCTTTGTGTCTGTTTATTTGATTTTCATAATAATGTATTTTTATGTGAACATCACGTGCTGTATTGATAAGATGCAACTGCGGTCTGAAAAATTAGTGTTTGGGAGGGAAGAAGAAGATCGAGAAGGGTTACATAAGAAGGCAATAGGTGGAGTCCATGAATAGATCAAGGTTGACAAAAATCAGCTTCATACTTGTCCAGGAGCATTCTGGTATAAAGGGTAATGAACGAGCTGACAAACTTGCAAGTGATGCTCACGTGGGAAACGGACGAGCAATGGACAGGGCTGATATACTGAATGCCCTCAGACAGGCAGCTCGATTAAACGAATGAAGTAATGATTATGAATCTGCAACACGGACAAGACTACACGAACACAACATCAAAAGCGGTGAAGCCACAGAAGCCCAAAGAAGAATAGTAAGCCAACGTAGAACTGGTGTCATAAGCTACTAAACACTGAGGGAAATCATGAAGAGAGGAACTGAGCACTTATGGACTGGTTCGATGTGCAATGATGATTATCTGTCGAGTAACTAACTAACTAGACTCACGATTTAGAGATTATTATTATTATTATTATTATTATTTGGGTTTACAGCATTACAATAAAGTCTGTTACCTCTCGCTAAACTTCTAATGTCCATAGAGAACTCAACCAACACTCCTCTCTCGTTCCATAAATTCCACTAAAGAAAATCACGTCCTCCTGGTAGTTTGTGAAGTTTGGCAGTTTGCAAAGTTTTTAATGCAAACATTTGAAACGCCCATGTATGTGGCCATTAGTAGGCGCAAACATTGTCGTGATAGTTCCTAGGGAAGTGTGTCAATAATATCAGATACATGCCGGAAGAATCGATTTAATACAGATATGTGTATCGGCGAAAACCTGCTAATCGTTATGAACATATAACACAAAGTGATGCGTTTTTCGACTGACAAGTAACTCCTGTGAGGGATAAGTTCAGTTGAGCGCTCTAGCATTCTCATAAGCGCCACATTCCCATATTCAGCAGACAAGGCAGAGTTCCAGTACTGATAGTGTTAGTAGCAGACGGGGTTTATGCTGGTCTGGTATTTGCACTTGAATATTAGGTGTCGACCAGTTTCCATGACAACCTCCATTGAGACCTTGATGATCTGTCCTCTTTCGCTGTGTTTGCTAAACTAAATGTTTAGAACATATTTACAATTAATTGCTTTAGTTTACCCCCAAATGGTCCAGAACAAGAAAATCATATCTTCTTCTTCTTTTTCTTAAAGTCCATGCCGTGTGGCGTTGGTAGTCATGTCTATCCAAAACCCCCTGTTTCGGGTACTTTCAATCATCTTTGAAACAGATGATCCTCTATGCCACGATCTCAAACCGTCAAGCATTTGTTCTCTCGGTCTTCCCCTGACTCTCCTCCCCTCCAACTTTCCTAATCACGATGTTCGCCCGTTTTTCTCCTTGTTCATTGTCTGATGTGGGCAATCAGTTCTCTTCGTGAGTCAGTTTCTTTCAAGACGTCTTCATTACTCTTTTTATCTGTCCAGGATATTCTCGTCATCCGTTTTTAAAATCAGAAATAGGTTTTCACTAATTTATCAACTGTCCATGATTCACTTCCGTATATCAAGATAGTAATCATATCTATCCTCATCCTATTCGCCCCTTTCATCTTTTCCTTCCCCTTCATATCCTGGTTTCATATACAGTAGAAAGGATCAAAATGAAGCCATGTTTGCAGCAGAGAATCCCCGCCTTCACTGTCTCATGATGCCTTATGGGCCTGACCGATCACCTGTTGTGTGTGCAACGGATTCCTGCCAGCAAAAGGCTTCACTTGCTTTCTCCACCTCCATTCTCAAACTTTTTTCAAAATCACAGACAAGAGGTGGGCAATGGGCAGAATAAAGCATCAATTATATTTTTATTATCTGTATTTACCAATTTTAGGGCACTGTAGGACGCGTATGTGTTTGTGTGGGAGAGGGGGCAGACGTCTATGTGTGTCTGTTCCTAGGAAGAAAAACACAAACATCTTATCAAGATTCGAACCTTGGTCTCGCACAAGAAAGAACAGCATTCTTAATCAATCTTCGAAGACACACATTTATACAAACGACCAACTAGACAGACAGGCAGACAAACCGCTAGGCAGTCGTGTAGTTAAAACAAATTTCAGACAGGCAAAGACAGAAAGGAAGACACAAAGACGTAGATAGACAGATATACATACATACTGAGACAGAGCGAAGATTCTATTCAGGGTATTTCCAACACACACAAAAAAGGCTATGATTAACAGAAATTGCCAAGTCAAAAATAACCACGGCCAGCAGCGACAGGTCACACAGCTGCGAAAGAAAACAGGATCATGTTAAGAACATTTAACGAGGTTTCATACAAAAGTGGGCAGTCGTAGAGACAGCTTATTTTTTATAATCGCTCAAATGATTTTGTGCTTTTCTGCAAAAGGATGGCTTAAGTCGCTCAAATGAAAATGCTGCAGGAAGGCATTTTGGCGCTTTCATATACTATGTATACCAGGAAATGAGTTAGCAGACAGACTTGCAAAAAAAATGGAACAG